ATCTCCTCGCGGGTGATTGGCTGCTAATGCCTATGGCCACCCGCCCCCGTAGGGAGGCCAGGAACAGAAAGGGAGGGCGTCTGTCTGTATAAAGCCCCATTGTAACTGGGGTAAGAGGAATGCTTTGGGTTATCCTTACCCAGGGGACAGTAAAGACCTCTTTTGCTGAGGACTCTCCAGCTGCACAATAAGATTCACCCCTTGTTTCCTGGGGCCGAGTATCCAGCTGTATGCCCCTGGGTTAACACACCAGCTGGAATTAGTTGTTGTGGCCCCAAGTTACAATCCCTGCAGTCACCTCCTCTGGTCTTTGGCTCTGGTGGGTCAGTGGGAGGCTGGGGTGGCATATTTGTGTCTGGCCAGCCCCATTTCAGGAGAGCAAGGAGCTGTCTGGTCCCTTTGAGTCGTGTGGGCAGCAGGGGAGCAGGGGTCAGCTGATCATCAGCCAGACTCCCCCAGGGCACAGCATGGAGTGACTGGGGGAGGGAGAAGCCAGGCGGGGGTGGGGTTGCAGGTGTAGGCAGCTGCAGGGCTTCTCCCTCTCTGCCCTCAGGGTTTGGGGGTTTCATCATGCCCCAGGTGGGAGCCTCTGCCCTGGAGAACGTGGAACAGGGAGCACAGAAGGGGCTGGATGAAGAGCTGGGGCCCCAAGGCAAAAGCACCCAGAAAACCTCATTTGTACCAGCCTTATGAGGACTATGAGAGTATGAAACCCCTGAGCCCAGAGATGACTCTTCCCCAGCAGCTGCCAGCTGGTCGCTGGGAACTGCAAACCCCATTGGGCATCCTATGGGCTGTGGATGATCAGCTCCTCCTAGTGGTCAGTGTCACACACAGCCTGGGGCTGTTCCTCTGCATGGCTGTGGAGCAGCGTCACTTCACAGTCACTGTGCACACCCCAGCTGCTCCTTCAAGGGCTGGTGTTCTACGTGCAGTTCAGAGTGAGGAACTCATCAGGTCACAGTATGGGAGGGCTGCAATGGCCATGATGAGGTTTGTTCCCACGTCTTTTCAGGGCCAAATGTCCTGTGGGAACAGAGCGTCTGCAAACCAGCGTAATTCAGATTCATAGAAATACCCACTGAGAGCAGCAATTGTCTTTCGCATGACCCAGTCTGTGCCCCACGTGGCTGTCAGCAAAACCCTCCTGTGGGGCACAACCTCCTATAAAGGGCTCTGTGCCATTGGTGCACATTTCTCAATCTGGAGGCACACGTTTGTAATTCTTGCGACTGCTGGAGTATTTATGCTCATCCCCAGCAGGTCTGAGTGTGAAGGGAGAAGTGCAGCTGTTGTTGAAAGTGTCCAGCATGGAGGTGTGTGGCCCCTGTGCATTGCTAGTGAGAACTGTCATTCCTTTACATGCTGACCCAGCCCACCCCATCCTCCGCCTTTGGGCTAATTTTCTCAGAAATTTTAAAATCTTCACAGGGGTAGTCGAGTTAGTCTGTAAGGAGAAATACTAAAATAACAACAAATAGTCTAGCAGCATCTTTGAATCTATCAAAACATGTAGATGGTATCTTGTGCTTTTGTGGGCACAACCCACTTCTTCCAATGAATGTCATTTTTAAAGATCCAGCTATGAAAAGGGGATGGCGGGCAGGGGGAAGAGGGGGGAATTGGGAGAAGTAAAAAAAGGGAAAGAAATAGTCAGTTAGACTCTCCACGCTACATGAATCTCATAGACAAGTTGCAAACTGTTCTTAAGTACCCAATGTTTCATTTTTTATGTCATTGGGATGTGGAATGTACTGGGCCAACCAGCCAATAAAAGTTGTTAGGGCATTTTTTTATGTGGGGCCTAGTCTGGGCTGGGTGGCCAGGCAGCATGATCCAAACCTCAGCAAGGACAGGAGCCCAGGTGCTGATGAGTGAGCTCCATGTTCTCTGGATGGTGTCTCTCGCCACCCAACACCCTGGCTGACAGAAGTATCTGATCCCTTGAGAAAACTCACTTAGGATACCAACCTGTGTGCGCTGGGGCACAGAGAGCCCATTGGGTTGGGGAGTTCTCTGTGCCCCGTCCATTCCACTGATGGGCTCAGCCGGAGGCGTCATTGGAGAAGAGCCATTAATATAGGATGGCGCTGTGGGCTGGGGGGACGACCGCAGATGCCTCATGTCCTGGGTCTGGGCCCACGTACATGATCCTGGTTCCTTTTAACCTTTGAGCTAACTCGCTTGAGACAGAGGGTCTTAGGGAAGGGATAACACAGGTCCATGAAGTTTCAATTTCCCCGTCAAGGTGCTTGGGGGGTGTAACCTCTGAGAGCCAGGATGCGACTAATGATCTGAGGTTTGTGCAGCACTTGGAGGACATACAGTTCTATTGCATCTCTGGGTCGGAAGTGCAGGGGACCCCACATCAATAACTGGGACAGTTCAAGAAGAGGACAGGCGGGAGGAACAATATTACTGACACACTGTCAGCCAATAGCGTGGGCCCAGCATCCCTTCCCTCACATTCCCCAGCTTCTGGTTTTGCAATAAAAACCCTGTAGAGAAGTTCTGCTGATAGGATTTGATCAAGTGCTTTGATTCAGGCGAGCCTGGGTGGGCTGGTTGAATTGGAGACTTGGAGTAGTGGGGTATCTGCTTTGAATCAGCAACCTTATAGCACAGGCAGCCAAAGCCAACTGAGGGTTTTACACTGCAGTTTTTAGAAAAGACTTTAGCGAGACTTTTGATGATGGTCTCCCACAGTATTCTTGCAAGTTAAGGAAGAATGAATTGGATAAATGGACTGTAAGGTGGATAGAATTTGGCTAGATTGTTAGGCTCCATTAGTAGTTATCAACAGCTCAATGTCTGGTTGGTATCAAGTGGAATTCCCCAAAGGTAGGATCTAGGGTTGGTTCTAGGACATGGATGATCAGGCCGACATTCTAGAGTTCGGAAGCCATCGGTGCATGGCTAGATGAAGGTCATTCTGGTAGATGCAGCAGACCTATCCCAGCAGAGAGAGGCAGGGAGCAGAATCACATTGGGCTCCTTCACAGGACGTACCCTGTGATTTTAACACAGGCAGAATTTGGGGGGAACTGAGGGAAGTATTGTCCTCACCCCCACAGAACTGCAAGCCTGCAGGAGGCAGCCTGTGTCAGCAATGCAGTGGGATCTGCAGAGAAGTCAGAGGTTGTCCTGCTCCCAACAGTACCCCTGGGGCCGGGAGGCAGAATAAGAAGGAGATTTGCTAAAGTACCATGATCTGTCCCAAGCCTGATAACACTGCCAAAGTAACAGGTGTGGCATGTTCATCGGTCCCAGCCACAAGGAGGAGGAGTCCTGCGGCACCGACACACAAACACATTTCTTTGGGCAAAGCTTCCATTGGCTGGAACGCACTTCCTGCCACGCGCTCGGGATCCCACTGACCCCGGGATACGACGACACTGCAGAGGAGCCGCCTTTGCCTCCTGAGGCCCAGCACTGCTCTCACGGGGGATTCTCCACAAACCCCTAAAGTGCTCAAGCCCTGCTCTGCACATGCCCAGTCCTGCAGGTGCTGAGTGAGAGCCCTCACGGCACTTGGCAACGGCACCGCTGTGCACTTACCTCGCGCCTCTGAGCATCGGAATCAGAAAAAGGGTAGCTGGTGGGCAGATGAGGACCCTGGCCACACTCCTGAGAGGCAGGGACGTGGCTCCCTCCCTTTCCTCAGGACCCCCAGGGCTCTCAGTCACAAGGCTGGCTTGGCTGGGGCAGGAGCCACCCTCCCAGAGCTGTCTGCTGGGGTCTTCCCAGAGACCAAAGGGTGCCTCAGTGCACTGGATCACAGAGCTGTGTCTGCACACTGGTGGGCCTGTGCTAGGAGAGGGAACACTGAGCCCCACCCCACCCCACTGGTTACTACGGAGCCATACTATGACACCAGGCTGCTCAGAAGGGTTTGAGCCCCTCATGCAGTCACAGAAGGAATCAATAACCAACCCCCCCCCATGTCAACAGGGAGTTTGTGTCTCACTTCTCCATCAGACTGTGTCACTGTGAGCAGACTGTCATTGTACCCACCTGACAGTAATAATCAGCCTCGTCCTGCGCCTGGACCCCAGTGAAGCCATACTATGACACCAGGCTGCTCAGAAGGGTTTGAGCCCCTCATGCAGTCACAGAAGGAATCAATAACCAACCCCCCCCCATGTCAACAGGGAGTTTGTGTCTCACTTCTCCATCAGACTGTGTCACTGTGAGCAGACTGTCATTGTACCCACCTGACAGTAATAATCAGCCTCGTCCTGCGCCTGGACCCCAGTGATGGTTAATGTGGCCGTTTGGCCAGAGCTGGGCCCAGAAAATCTCTCAGGGATTCCGGAGGGTCTCTCACTATCCCTATATATGATGAGTTGTGGGGCCTGGCCAGGTTTCTTCTGGTACCAGTGCACATAGTATTTGTCAAACTTTTCTCCTGTGCAGGTGAGCTGAGCTTATTGTCCTGGAGACACAGACACTGACGGTGGCTGGGTCAGCACGTACTGGGCAAACGAACCTGCAAGAGAAGGAGAAAACCCAGGGAAAAATCATGATGATAAGAGCTCTGTGCCAGCAGCCCGGGGAACCACTGGGAGAAATGACTTTCAAATCAAAGGCCTCTGTGATTGAAAGACTGAGCTGTAAGTGAGCAGCACAAGGAGCTGGAGAGCCCAGGCCATGGCAGATCCAGATGAGCTCGGTTCCCTGAGCCAAACAGGTCTGTGGCTGGGACCTGTTTGTTGTCTCTTAAACACCCGAAAGCTGGAGACTGGCTCCATAATGCAAATCTGCTCCCTGTTCATTGGCTGCTGCTGGCTCCTCCCTTCATTCAGAGACAGCTACTGACAGGCCTAGGAATTGTTCTGTTCGCCAGTTGCAAGGAAAACTTGGCTGGGATGATTTAGTTGGGGTCGGTCTTGCTTTTAGAAGATGCTAGGACTCACCTGCTGAGGTCTCAGCCAAACATATAATTCTGTGAGCATGAAAGATAAAGCTCGTTGTGGGGGCGAGGGGCTCCAGAAGCGCTTTATCTGCTCAGACCATTACTGGCCAGAGCACTGGCTCCAGGGTGAAGAGGCTCAAACGTCGGCTCAGCACTGCCAGGCAAGCTGGGTTTTTGTCCTGCCCTGGGAGTGTTTTCAGCTGCAGGAGACCCTAGCTGGTTTGGGGCTCTGTCTTTTGTGTGGTGGCCACTGGGATGGGCTGGCTCTGCAGGTTGTTTGGGTGTCTCTGACACTTGTTACAGGTGTGCTCCAATGGCTTCTGGGATTAGCAGTTGCTTCCTGGAGTGAGGCGGCTGTGAGATGGTGCTGTGAGGGACACACTACTGGGGGAGGGGAGGCTCTGACCCCTCCTGCGCTGCCCCCTGCTCCAGAGACGCACACCCAGAGATGGTGAAGAACACACCACAGATGCTGTGAGCCATGCGGGGGCTGGTGCCCAGCTGGCTCCTGACAGCGTTCAGTGACTGCTCCCTGCTCAAGGCCAGGGTGTGCGCTTGGGGAGGGGGATGTGTCAGCAGAAGAAGGGGGAGAATTTCTGCTCCTCTCCCCTTATTTCCCTCCTGTTGGGTTGGGTTTTGATGAACTCGTGGTGCCCATCCAGCCCCAGCAAGCAGGGTGCCAGTGTGAACAGCCCTGCCCCAGAGAGGCGCAGAGAGGGGAGTGGGGTGCGTGGGGAGGGGGACTCCAACGCACACAGTGCTCTGAGGTCACATGACCATAGCGAAAGCTGGTGGGGGGTGAAAAGCCCCAAAGCCCAGAGACGTCTCCAGCCCAGTGCTGGGCCCCCTGACACTTGTGCACTGCTGGACTCCCAGCGCCAGTGCTGGACAGGGGAGGGCTCCCCCTGCTGGTCAGTGTTGGTGTTGCTCTGGCCAGTCCTTGCCGCCTTTCACAGGCGCTTAGACCCTGCTGGCTGACTCCTCCGAACGCTGCCCCCACTGACTGTCCCACTCTGCAGGTGCCACCTCTGCACAGCTGTTTCCAGCCTTCCCGCTGTTCCTGTCAGGGTGTTCATGGACTGATCATGTCCCCCGCCTGCTGGATTCCTCCTGCACCTGGACCCCTT